CCACATCAGCATCTCATTTATGTCACATAATAGAATGTTCACTTTGTCTGGTTTTGTTGCAGTCTGCCCCATTTACATTTTTACGTTTAAGCACAAAATTAAAACCTACTAAACCAATTAATTAAAAGTGAAATACCAGAAATTAATTATATTGCTTATCCAGAAAGTCTTGGTTGAGCTGTATTTGCATAATTTCTTCATATCATAGAAGTAGTTAAATGCTTTTGATCGTCTACCTGTTTATTATAATTCAGATTACGAAACAGGGTATGTTTGATTCGGTATTTGGCACCACAATCTTGCCAAATTTTTGAAGGGTGATAATACATTTCGTTTCTTATTTACAGTACATCTATTTGATAGACATTAAATTGTTTCAAAATCCGCAACCGTAACATATATTAATATTTTAAATGTCAGGATTCGACATCTTTACGTGGTATCATACTAATTAGTATATTCTGCTTCCAGGCTTCAGCACCTAAGAGATTACATACCCTCATTCCATTCGCACGATAATGGGCATCGAATAGAGAAACATAAGCAATTGATGCAACTTCTTTATTGTCGTTTATCACATTACGCTTAACCATAAGCTGTTGACATCGTAGAGCATCAATAATACAGTATTCTGCCACCTCGCGCATATGTTTTGCAGATTCTATGGAATCATTTTCTTTTACTGTTTTGTAATAATCCCGCATACGGTTTATTGGCATATCAATTTTGCCTCCAAGATCACACATTTTTAAGTAAAACTTGAGTGAGCTTCCCTTTTGCACTTCAGATCGTGAATATAATTTGTTGAAACTTGCACGGACATCAATTGGAACACATCCTGGCAACTTCAGAAAAGAAGAAATAAAGAACTCTTCTGGACTTATCTTAATTTTCACTGCTAGCCGACTAAAATCTTCTTCTTCGCATTCGTTTTCTTTAACCACTTTATGACTGTTTCCAGAAATATCTGAAGAACGTCCCATAGGCTTTTTCCCATGTTTCCATAATAATTCCAACGTAAAATTTGTTTGTTTGTACTTTGTAGTGAGTTCGCAGACATTTGCAACCACATCCATTCAAGAATATGTAGTCGGCTAGCCTTCTCTACGATGAAAGGCCAATCATAGTCTGAATCATTGAAACCTATTACAATATCTGGTGGTGCTAGTGCTCGCCAACATAGCGCAAATGCCTTTAATAAATTTGTTTGATTTCCACATACGATTGTGATCCAATTTGGGTTTCTACAGTGAATTGTCATACAAATCATTCCTCTAGTGCCACGGACGGGTAATTGATCTATTCCGCGTTCTGTATGGGTTTCTATATCCCATGTTAATACTAGAGTGCGATCATGTATCATATATGAAGTCGAAAATAAATCACTTATTGTATCTAAGTCTTCCACAGAATGGTAATTCTTTATAGATACTCGAAACGTATATGAGCAAAGAGATAAACTTTTATTGTAACTATAATTGTTTATCATTCCCCACCCTGTAAGAGAAATTCCATATTCGCGAGCAACTTTGCGGTAATAAGTGCTACGATCGTCTGATGCAGTTTCCAGGTTATGTTTTTGGATGATATTAAAGGCTATTTTTCTTTGGAAAGTGTTTGTTGTAATAATACGAAGATATGATTTTTTTTCTGTATGGTAGCCACAAATAGGAAATGCCTTTATGTGCTCTATTCTGATTTTACCTACATCTACCGTTTTCTCCTTGTCGTTTTTTTCATTGGCAAGAATATTTTTTATTTCGTCTTCAAACAAATATATATCTTTATTGTCAGGGACTCGGATATCAAAGAAAACTTTAATGCCTGTAATAGTTACCACTGCTTTCTGGCCATTAATAAGTGGGCCATATAAACGCAAGATATAATAGGGGGTTCCATTTATATATTCGTTAGATTCTTCTATATCAGTAGGCATAAAAGGTATACTTTCTCGCTTAGCTAAGGCTTGTTCAAGAATTGAAGTCGATCCATTCTCATTTTCTCCAACTATATCGTTACGGGTTGGGATTCCTAAATAATCTTCGCCAGAATATCTCAATATTTGCTTCACCTCTTCACTTTCCGAAATCTGTGATTGAGGAAAAGCTTTGCCCCCCCCCCGATGGTAGAAGGCCCCGTTATTTTCTTGGAAATTTTGGGTATCCATAGTTGGCACATCGGATGATGTGGGTACAATAGGCATGCTATGTTTACTTTGGGTACTCATGTTTTTTCTGAAAGAATATTATTCGGGAATTAAAAAGTTCAAAATGAAAATTAATTCTAAAGAATATTGATCGGTACATATTATATACTCAATCGAGATAAACATCAAAAAAATGGCATTTTATCGTTGTCCCTATATCCTTAGAACCGGTGAAGTCTGTAATCGGCCATGTTATCATCCCAATGGGTGCAAAGTTCACCGGGATTCACCTATTCGTTATCCTTGCAAAGAATATGGTTGTGTTAAGTTAACTTATTCTGATTATGGTAATTGTGATACTCATGCGCAGAAACATCGTGGAAGAGAGTATAGGCATCAGAAAAAGCTGGAGAAGATGGCGCAAGACAGATTTGAGATGGCAGAAAAAAATACATAGTATGAAGGTATATGTTGGGGGGGTCACGTCCAGGCTGACTAGGTAAATTTTTCTTGGACGAATTTCCTGGACGAAAAAAGATAGCTAAATGATGTTTTTGAGTCGAAAGAAACGGTTTTAGACAGCCGTCCAAGTTGTCCAGGTTGTCTAGGTAAAATTTCGATTTCTTTACCCTTTTTTTCTTCTTCTTTTTTATATTACACATATGAATCATATATAGCATATATGTATATTATATAACGTATATAACGTATATAGTATAAATATATATTATCTGTATATATCGTGTACCATAGGAAAGAGTTTTATTTTTTTCCTAGAATTCTATTTTTTTACCTAGACAACTTAGACGGAATTATAACAAGTATAGAAGACCAAGTTAAACCGAAATTAAACCTTTTTCTCCCATAACATTATCCGTTTAAGTTAACTTTTTTTACTAGGACGAAACCTGGACGATTTTTTTTTTCTTGGACGCGAGCGGATCCATTTCAAACACATTCTAGGATAGCAAACGTGAGCGATTACATTTTCGATAGCATAACCGGATAACATTTTTGATAGCATAACCTGATAGCATATACATGATAGCATTGTCGATAGCATTTACCTGATATACTCTACGGAGTAGGATGCATTGCATCTAGCATTCATATTGGTAGCATTAATCGATAGCATAACCAGATAGCGTGTATATAACATAGCCCGATAGCGTTTGCGCGATATATTTTGTATACATATTTGATAACATATACCCGATAACATGACTCGACAGCATAACCAGATTCGTGTATATAACATAACCAGATAGCGTGTATATAGCATACGCGATAGCAATTACGCAACGCATATTTGATAGCATTCCCCGATAACATTTATGATGTATATATCGATAGCAATTGCGTATACATGTTTGATAGCATTAGCCCTCATTGAATATGCATAACTATTGTTCAAGATAATACAATCTAGTTAAGTAGTAATTTCTGAAGCAGAGAGATTGCTACATTTAACTAGCTATCAATAAACTCTTAATACAGGAGATTGGTAAGGGTTTCAAAACTTATATAGAAAAGCTAGAGCAAGATTACGATTCTGAGTCTGAAGACGAATTAAAGGATATTATATCTATTTGTAAACCTGCAATCAAGAATCTTGTTACTACCAATGATATGTAAATTGCAAGATGTAATCTTACTTTTTTTTGACGAGTTTTGCAATCAACACGTCACACCTAGAGATATATTATTGGTCAAGTGACTTAAATTTTACGATCTACCCATCACTCAAATGACTTGAGTTCTGCGATTGACCCATCATAGCTGAGTGAGAATAACCTAGACTAAGTGGAAACAACATAATTATGTTGTTTCCACTACTTTTGATAATAAGCTTCGGGATCCCTTAATTTTTCGGCTATTCTTTTGTTTTCCATAGAACCCCACATTTTTCTTTTTCTCCTTCTCCTCAACTTTGGCATCTGTCTTGTTCAAATTTAAACTGGTTTGCAATTGAGAATTCATTAATAACTCTTTGAGAAGTAACCTTTCCATTTCAAACATCTTGGCTGCATTTTCCCCAATATAAATAGTCATTGAAATCATGTAGTCATCACAATTTAGCTTTTCGCCAATTTTTTTAATGCATTTTTGCATTACTTTTCCCATTTGAGCTCAGGTTTCAAGATTGATAGCATTTATCATTATGTCTTTTGGTAAACGATTTTTGTTTCAATAGCTTGCTATATCTGTGTGAAGTCTAACAAAAACTTTGCTAGTTTCAATATAAATTCTTTCTGAATTGGCCTCCAAAACTTTGCTTACCTTTTTTTGTTCTTTAGTGCTTATTTTTTTGTACCTTCATTTATTTTATATTTGAGAACTATCCGGCAGTAAAAATGATTTTTGTTTTGAAGACCAAACTTTCCTACCAGAATGCCAATTCGAAAACCGGGAGGAGAATACTCTATTTATTTTAGCAATATTATCCTTTAAAATAGGTAATATATCGTTTCATTCTCTTTGGCTTATTTCCTGAATGTCTTTATTATGCTTCTTGGTAACAAGAACGCAATGTCCCTTAGCATTAGGTCCGATTTCAGAGTAAGTAAAAACACTGTTTTTTCCATCATCAGCTTTATCATTTAAGACTTACAGTATCACACATTACACATGCAGGCTGCGCATTAGGATTGTGTCAAGTAAAATGTTTGCTCTATGTCTTTTACGGCTCTTCTTCCGCATTCGCACAATAACTGCACTTATGGAATTCAGTCTCTGACGATATTCCGCATTGAGAACATAAAAATGTTCTTGATCTCAGCGGCTCATACCACACGTGTTTCAAATCGCTATCGTTCATAATTAAATGTCGCTCTTAAAATTTATAGTAAAAGTAAATTTGTAAAGAAAAAAACTAAGTCCATTCAACAAATGACTGCTGAAATTGTTCTTTTTATATTTCTTCTATTTTCGTTTCTTTCTTGGTTCATCATTAGTTGGGGTTAAGGTTTGTCTATTGTTCATTATTTTTCGTTCTTCCTGATAAATTTCATAAGTGATTTTTTCTTTATCTAGATATTCCTGGAGAGTTTGGGTGTCATTGATTATGGAGCAATTTTTTCTCCTTGGGCTTCTTTAAAATACTTCAAATAGTACCGTAATTCTTTGGTTCCTTGGCGGATTTGATGTAAATCAATTTCATATTAATATTTTTTAATATAGAGATAGGCCTATATAAAATATATTACTGTTATAATGATAAAACTGTAAGTAAACATTTATCTCGACCAAGTTTACATTTTGATACCAGATTTAAAATGTAAGATGTGGGCCACCCAACAATCTTTGTGGCTTAAAATCGTTTTGTATGTCCAATTATATAAATCCGTTCCCCTACCGAACATACTATCTACATACTAATACTAATACGAGACACATATTCGTAAATGGTAAATGTTACAAAGAAACAAAACCACGTGATATCGGATTAAAATTTCCGGAGTATGATAAAGCATTTAGCTGTAAAGAAACAATACAGATTGAAGAGGCGAAGAGATGTGAAAAACACTCGAAAGTTATCTAGAACAACTACTAGCCAAAACTTTCAAACGCCATTGTGAGCGAACGGTTTTTGCGAATTATACAACTATTGGGAGATTAGCAACAATTCTATTCACTATGAGCATGAGAATTTTGCCTTCATTAGTACTTTTTCGCTTAATGCTGTTGATAATGGTTTGTTAAGATGTTACGACTATCTCGGACAGGAAGGCAAAAAGAAAATCGGTAAGAAAATTGGGGACGATGGCTAAGTGAGAGTCAATTCGATATCTTCTGGTTCAAATTTGGTTAGCGAAATGGTACAAGTTATTCTCATCAAGAAAGGAAATCAATTTGGAACACGTACTATAAAGAGGCACGACGTTATTCAAATGACAAATGTGGATGACACTAAATTATTTAGCCTTCCACCAGACAAGAGGCGATAATGGGCTTTGCTATTATCAAATTGTGAACCTTCTAATGGGAACTAAGAACCTCAACATTTTCGTCCTATAGTAGGACAGTCTGCTGTTATAATAAGCACAGGGAACTCATTTCTTATTCCCTTTCTGAACAAAGTGCATCGAAATGGGTATGAATAAACTTTTTTGCAACAATCAAACAGACATATTTGTACATTTGTGTACACAAGTTGATGCATACATAAAACTCGTACGTTAATTCGGGTTTTATAATTTCATTCTTTCTCTAATGGCTAGCAGTTCCAAAGACCCTCAAGTGCCATTTAATGGCATACCCGAGATAGACCCGGAGGTGATGAATGAAATGAAATCCATAGAAGAAAAGGCCGCTGACGTTGAAAAACATGTTGGTATGTATCAATGGCTAAATAATGGCAGCATTGTATTCAATTGAAAAAGCGTCTCATATAATGAATAAGCATCAAGGTATTGACGAACTTTAGCTTTATGGAAATACAATATAAGATACTAATTGAATTCTGTAAACATTAGCCAAGGAATACACTAAGCTAATGCGCCCAATATACGAAAAGCGACGGCATATATTAGCAAAGATACCGAAATTTTGGCCTCAAACCGTAAGTTCTATCATTATAATTAAGAATTTCGTCTGGTGCAATAGCTGCTAACATTTGACCTTTTCCTATTGTTTTCTCCTAGCTTGCTAAACACGTTCTTATCGGTAAGCGGGTCTTTATTACAACGACAGATGCGTTAATATTATGCCAATTGTATTCACCGGACAATTTTCTTACTTTCCCATTCATTTCCAAAGCTCAATACTTACAGAGCGACGATTATGAGGTAATGTTATTGTAGCATGTAATAAATGAATATGTACTAATGCAACAATAGTTCTTGAGCATTTTTATTGACAATCTCGCTTTTGTCTTTGGACCAACCAAATACAGATCATTCAGTACCTTACCGATCTATTTGTAGAGAAGCACGAAGAAAAGTTGGATGACTACAAAATCTTTCTTCACTTCTCTACGAACCCCTTCTTTAAAAACACGGAACTAGTCAAGGTGAGCAGAGATATATGTCACACGCTGAATTTTCCGACCCATACACTCACATAACCTAGTACGGGTTGAATTGTGATTGTTAAAAAATCATCATATTTATATATGGTTTTGTTAATCTACCGCAGGAATATTATCTCGACGATAAGGGTGATTACTGCACCAAAAGCACTCCAATTGAATGGCACGAAGGAAAGGTACAATAACTATTATCATAAAACACCGATGATCGAATAGCATTTAGAATTCTTCTCAACGGTGCCCTTTTATTTCATGTAACAGACTTATTGATTATCGCAAATTTATTGTAGGATATAACGCAGAAGAGTGGGAATTCTTCGGAAGAAGGTAACGGTCTATCCTTCTCGATTATCGTATTTGCATAAAATCTAAGTCTAACAGCTTTTTTTTTTTCAAAGAAAGCGATGATATAAGTTTCTTCGCATGGTTCACGTCCAAACAGACACTTGCCAATGAGGGGTGGGATTTGGGTAAAGTCATAAGTGAGGAAATATTCCCAAAGGCATTTGAGTAAGCATTATGACAACAGTATTTGTCGGCTGATGATATACAGATGTACAAACTTTGTGATATATCTGACTTTTCGTTCCGTTTTAGTTATTTTCAGAGCGAAGAGGACGATGACGAAAATGACTTTGATGACGAGGATGTTGACTATCCTGATGATGGTGGTGAGGAAGAGGATGAGGAAGAGGATATTGAAGATGGTGAGTAATCGGTGATGTTTGTCGTATTGAATGCTTTCATTATCTGCAGAGCTTAACAATCTTGCATCATCAACAGAGAAGGCGGGGTCACGGCCATCTAAACGTAAGAGGGAAAGTTAAGGACGATCATTGTAGTTGGGTGACAGTTAGAGAGTATTATATTTATCTGTATTTGTTGCTTCTTGACTCTGTAAAGCCCCCATGAGCGGGAACATTTATCACCTATATACAATTATATGTAGTGACAGACATATATCGCCAATCACCGAAGTTTGCTTTATAAGAAGTTCAAAGAAAACTGCTTGCTGTACAAATATTGCTGTTGTCTCTTTATCACCTTATCTTCCGAACTGAAGTTTGCTGCATCCTGTATAGAATGTTTCAGCCATCATATGACAATCGCGATTTCCATTAGACAAGAAAGAAAAGACCCAACTTGCCCTTTCCGGTCTACATGCGATGAAATCTGGTGACGCGTGTTCCCCATTGGTTTCTCTTGAGCAGAATTACTTTCCCTCCAATTCCCATTGTTGCCCGTTATTGTCTACGCCACCTGATGTTGTGCCACTTACCGCAGTGGCACACATGTTTCTTCCACCAGTAATTGGAGGGTTCGAGTGATATGCACATCAAGTCTTTTGCTGCACCCCTTTTCAATTTCACCTGTCTATCGAAGGCGAATCCATCTTCGTTCATCTCAAAAACTTCTTAACCTCTTACGTTCAATCGATCCTCGCAACTTTTGACATATCTACTTGAAGGTATGATGAATATATGACTTTTTTTTGCAGCTTTTCGTCATTCTCTTTGACGACTACGTTACGAGTCTTTGTCAGTGTGTGCCTTATTTGCCACGCGCCACGAGAGGCTGCTGTATGACATTGTAACTTGTTTAATAACACCACCCTGGTAGTAACCATTATTGTCTAACGTTGTCGATTCGCTATTGTTTTGCACTATACACCACACAAAGACAACCCTCCGTTAGCTGGTCTCTCGAAATGGGCGATAACAGAGGGAACGGCAAGCGCGCTAGCGGGTGGGGCAGACCCGAGCCCGCAAACCTAGACCCCGAACGACCGTGGGCTTCAAGTAGACGTCGCTATGAATGGGACGAGTCCTACGAGAATGGTGCTGCTCCCAACGATGAGCAATTGGAAGAGGAGTTGTTTAGTGAAGAAAATTTAGTAAACACTGGAATAAATTTTTCACAATACAATAATATCAAAGTACACGTCAAAGGAGCGAAAATACAATCCATATCAACGGTATTAGTGTCTCTTATTCAATCCTGTTGACTTGCCTGCTACAGTTAGTTGATATAACTATCTAATCTGTCATTATCTAAATGATTAGTTTGATGAGGGCAATCTTCATCCAATGATAAGAGAGAACGTTAAACTGGCTCGTTATAGCACCCCTACTCCCGTACAAGTAAGTAAAAATCTCTTCATCTTGTGGAATATCGACTTTGTAGTCGGGATCAAACTCTTCCCTGAAATTAAAATGACTCGTATAAATGATCGATTTGCTGTTTTTGGACTATCAACAGTTTGATATCAAGAAGTAGTTACTGTTTGTAAAACCCTAAACGATGGCAGCTAATGTATTCGTTAATTTTATTCAGAAATATTCTATTCCTATTATTACCGAAGGATATGATTTAATGGCATGCGCACAAACTGGTTAGTACCTTCATATTCGCGTCATTTCTTGGGACGTAGACTTGTTTAATGAACGTTTGCGTTCCTAGGTTCGGGTAAAACTGCTGCTTTTCTTGTTCCCATACTATCCAATTTATTTGAAAGGGCGAAAAAACTTGCAATTTCCCGACCACCCGGGGGTCGAGGTAGAGGCAAGGTCGAACCATTGGTTTTGATTTTAGCGCCTACGCGTGAATTGGCAACTCAGATATTCGATGAGTGTCGTCGGTTTACATATAAGACTATGATGCGACCCTGGTATGAAGAGTATAAGTTTTGTCAATCTGACGGATCGATCGCGAATTGGTTGCTCACTCTATTAACATCTATATGTTAGTGTTGTGTACGGTGGAGCCGACGTTAGAACTCAAAGGATGGAATTAAGCAAAGGATGTGATGTGCTTACTGCGACTCCTGGCCGTTTAAACGATTTTTTAAATAGGACAGTGATTAGTTTGTCCAGAGTCAAGTGAGTAGACTAGACTACATTCACTTGGATGTGATTATTGTATTATGCATTTCTCCCTTATTCTGTGATTTGTATTATATAAAGATATCTTGTTCTTGATGAGGCCGACCGTATGTTAGACATGGGATTCGAAACTGAAATTCGCAAGATTGTGCAAAAATCTGGTGAGGAGTAGCTAATATCATGTTATATGCTAGAAAGGTTGATCTTCGGTTTGGTTTATTGTTCTAATTTATCTATCCGAATAGACCTCCGTGAAGATGGTACAAGACAGACTTTAATGTTTTCAGCAACATTTCCAAAGAAGATTCAGGAACTTGCGCGTGATTTTCTATCGAAGACACATGTATTCTTAACAGTTGGACGTGTTGGTGGTATTCCATCTGAAATCACGCAGAAGGTATATATACATTAACACGTGTTATTAATAATATTACTAATAATACTCATAATTTTCATGTTTCCTTTGTGAATTAATAGGTTATCTACGTCAGAGATGAAGATAAACGCAAGGAACTTGTGGACCTACTGTTGAAACAGCCACCATCGCGTACTTTGATATTTGTCGAAACTAAGCGTGGTGCGGATTCTTTGGACGATTACCTATATAATCAGAATTTTCCAACTACAAGCATTCATGGAGACAGAACACAGAGAGAGCGTGAAGATGCTCTGGCTTCATTCAAGTAAGTCATATACATGTTTTCGTAGTTGAAACCTGAAACAGCGTAATAACGAACTTGTTCGATAGGTCTGGTCGGTCACCAATCCTCATTGCCACTGCTGTCGCTGCACGAGGCCTTGATATCAAAAATGTGATGCACGTCATTAATTACGACATGGCAAGCGAAATTGACGAATACATTCATCGTATAGGCAGGTTAGCAGCGTAATGAAATCAATTATGCATGAATGTTGATTAAGGTGCATTTTGTATATCATCAAATTTCCTTTCTAAATAGAACCGCTCGTGTTGGGAACCCTGGATTGGCTACGACGTTCTACAATGAGCGTAATGAAGCAACTGCCCCTGATTTGGTGAAGATATTAATCGAATGCAAGCAGGATGTTCCCGACTTTTTGCGCGCTCACACGGCAAGAGAAACGTAAGAATGATACTGAGATAACTTTTCAATAGTAACACTATGACGATTTACTGAAATTAACGTTCATGTTCTGTAGAGAATCGGATGATTTTTCAGAAAATACAGGAAATGATTATGGTAGGAACGATGAAGATTACTCAACGAGGCGTAATCAAGATTCCTCGACGTGGGGTAATCAAGATTCCTCGACGTGGGGTAATCAGGATTCCTCGACGTGGGGTAATCAGGATTCCGCAAGGAATAATCAAGATTCCCAAGCGTGGAACAAACAGGATTCCCAAGCGTGGAACAGTCAGAATCCTCCAGCGCGGAACAATCAGGATTCCCAAGCGTGGAACAGTCAGAATCCTCCAGCGCGGAACAATCAGGATTCCCAAACGTGGAACAGTCAACCTCAACCACCAATGCAGCCTCAGTATACACCGCCACCAGCGCAGCCTCAATATTCACAACTACCTCCACAACCGCCAATGCAACCGCAATATTCGCAGCCTCAGTATTCACAAACACCACCGCAATCTCAATATCCACCAAACACTAGTAGTTATGCTTCTAATCGGGCACCTTATGTACCACAATCGCAGCAGGATGACTACCACGTGACGCCATCCAATTACAACAGTAGTTATTCAAATGGATTTACTCCTGCGCCCAGCAATTCAGATGGTTGGGGTGCGGCGACGACGACTCAGAGTAACGATACGAGTTCATGGAATCCAGATGCACCACCACCGTGGATGTAAAAATTTCTAAACCCAGGTGAAAAGGCGTCTATTTGAAATAGGTGTGATTTTGATAGTCACCTGGCTTCTGCCTCCTGTGTTTCTTCTTGTCTTTGTCCAAAAACGACTTCTCTCTGTTGATGACAGATTTAGATTATGTTGTCTATTAATATGAGATTTAGTAATGTCGCATGATACTATTAAAGGAATGCAATAAATATGGACGTTATATTTATCGTTGGGTATCGTTTGTGCTTCTATATTTTATAGATATATATGAGTCACTAATGCTCCTAATTATTTCAATTATCTGTATTATTCTAACTTCATTTAATTAAATAACAAAACAACTCGATCAGAGACAAATACTTAAGCGATTGCTAGCAAAACGTTGTCAGATAACCTTGACTAGCCAAACGGTAAGAACTGTGACAACAAATGCGATATCATATCAACATATTACTAATTCTATTATGCATTCTTTCTTAACAATAAAATTCTTTGGCACAAATAAGATGTCTAGTGTATATTAATATTATATACAGATTATTAGATAAGACCTAAAGATCAGTAATCAATTGATAAACATTAATATTAATGCGGTCAATTCGGATTAAGTACTTGAGTCTCGGAAATATGATATGGAGTATAAGCAATAGAAATTGACGATGCTAAATTGGCAGCAAAGATGGTTAATGACATCAGCCAGTACATATGACCGACAAGCAGGACAATGAACTTCACGTTACCTATAGCCTCGGTCTCTTCCCCACATTCTGGAGGTTCAATCCATCCGCTGGGCACCACACCTAGTAAACAAGTTTATTAGACATCGTTCAGTTACCTTATCAAAGATTACCGAAAATCATAACTCCCTCCCCAACTAGCAGAACAAGTTTCACTATGTAATAAGGTAGCATACATGGAAATAGCGTTCCTAATTTTGCAGCACGGTTTATCCAGCCTATGGAAAACGTAAAATGGATCAGTTGTGTACATTGTGAAAATAGGAAGATATATCTTACTTACTGGGAGCACGCTTGCCTACTAATATGCGACATGCTTCACTGGAAAAATGGTTACAATTCCTACTCCAGAATCTCAATTAGCACTAATCGAGATGAGAAAACGACAAAAACGAAATCTTGAACTTACCTCAAAAGAAGATTATAACTGTTTCCTTTCCATTCTTTAGACAATTCGTCCATCATTCTCACAATATCTTCTTTATTAAATTTAGTATACCCCATAAATATAGACTCCCTAAAAGGTGCAAAGAAGAAAAGATAACAAAATAAATAAATAAATACTAACTTCCGTATGACGTATCCACCCAAATGACTCACTTGTATGTAACATTTGGTGGACCAAGTCGTGGCTTCATCCTAAATACTCCAGAAGCGTCGTAATCATGACCTCCAAAGTTATATTCTATAAACAGTAATATTCAAGACTTGCGATCATTTCAACAAAATTTAGGCATATAACTATAAAGTAACAAAATATATCACTCACCGACTCCTAATACTTCTACACCAGTGTGAAATACACCTGGGATGAGTAAGTATAGTGTTAATTGTTTCTCTTGCGTCAACTATCATTGTAAACTCTCGGTTCAATTCATCTCATCTTACCAAAACCCATCCAGTAACCAATCGCAGTGACTGCGCTACCCGGTAGCTAACGTTAAATATCTTTGTTAGATCAGGCATTAATGCACACCAGACACCAGAGAACCAGAACATACCATGTCATATACATTGAGATACACCTGTATTGACACCGTTAGTACGTAGTTTGTTTCTATGAATTTCACATACAAGTCTCGTTACCTAAACATACCGCCGTCTCTTCCTGCAAGCCGCGGCACTCTTCCTTGTTCGCATTGGTAGCGTCCTGTCTAGCGTCAGGATACATTGTGTGAGCCGCTAACAACTTGGGAAAAAATTGTATTGTAGTAGTCCCGGGAAAGTAGGCGCTTTCTTTGTAAACTAAATAAATATCACATGTACAACATCACGTGTGTGCATGATTTTGACACGTAAAACATCCAACATTCACAACAATTCATAAAATGTCGGCTCTGGACGAGCCCGTCGAAACCCTCATGCGAGGATTATGTCTGGAATATGAAAATTCGCCAGTAGTTGAAAAGGCAATTCAATTACTTCAACGGGTTAATGCCATGTGTCCGGGAAATAGAATAAAACACGGTGCGACTTGTAAACCTCTCATATGCATACAAATTGCCTGCGAACTGTAAGTAATTTCGAATAAAGTGTTCTGTGGGGGTTTTTTTTGCTGAATTCCCAGCCAAGTCATAAAGTTTACCGAAACGTGATGTACCCCGCTTTACTTTAGATATGGGATTGCGATTAATCAGAAAAATGTTTTGAAATTGGCTCATACGACAAAAGCCAATTACTTGTCTGCTTTGGATTACGTAAAGTCTATTCTAAATGTCGAGTCAAAGACGATTACATTTCAGGCTCTTGGTGTACAGTGGGGATGCCAAATGATTACGCCACATGCTGAAATGGTGTTTGAGCAATTTAAGAAGGAATGGGATAGCAAGTTAACTGCTGCAGAGAGATGCACAATTGACTGGGGCAAGGACGTGTATAAAACTGCAACATTCTGGTTGTGTTGCAAAGCTATCGGTGTGAGTGTATTTTCATCTATATGCGCATTAAACGATACATGACATATATAGTTATTTACAGTAAAATATATATACTACAGGTGCAATTAAACAAACGGAAACTTATAGAATCGAGCGGGTTCAAGACGACGCTGAGAGATTTGAATAAGCACATAAAACTTGTAGAAGAAGCGACCAAACCACTTTTGGCAGAATTGGCTGCTCGTAAGCATGATGGACGAAAGAGAAAGAACGATACTATCGATGACGATGATAATAGCGAAGATAAGAATGCGTCAAAAAGGACAAAACACGAAGACGTGAGAAAGTCTGAACCAGTATCTGGAATATGCGATATGGTATGTAAATTAACAATCTTGAGACAATCCTCTGTGAGCTACTATCAATCCTTTTTTTCATTTTCACACAGCTTGGCACGACGTGTTACAGACGATCTCGCAAATACACTGATTATATCAAATGGCGAGATTATATTCTTGGGTTAGCTGAAACAAATGTGGCCTTGTGATTGAAACATGCCAAGGCACTAAAAGCTACGAGTATCGTACCAATAATTTAGTATTAAGTCGGCAAGCATGGATAGAAAGGGTGCATCGTATTACTTTAATATTTTAATGCAACCTATCATTCCTTCGCGACACATGTCGACAATTGCATCCCATCTAAATAACAAAGATGTACTAGCATATTATAAATGAAAACATATCATTAGAGTAATAGACAGTCCATGATGCTTTTCATTTGCGATCTCTATCGCCAAATATTGCCAATAGGCTCTGCCAGACAGCATTTGGACTTTGGGCAGCGTCAACGCCTGACCAAATGCCTTTCTTTTTGTAATATTCAGCGACTGGAACCGTCTGTTTGTGATATGTGGCAAGACGTTTTCTTAATGTCTCGGGATTGTCGTCTGAACGTTGGATCAAAGGCTCTCCGGTGACGTCGTCTTTCCCAGGCACTTTCGGTGGGCTACAAATGTAAATTATGGATATGTCAGCGTATTTGAAGAGAATGTCGCGATTTAAATCTATGGTAATATTTTCACAAGATCCTGTTGCTGCTCGCTAAATAGTAGGTTGCTTGCATGAATCAGATGGACGTAGATTAACGTAGATTAATTCCTTACTCGAATATTCTATGATAAGTTCTTCCACTAGGTCGATGAATTAATCGACCGGTGATTCTTGACACCAACAAGTTGTCGTCGATGATCAATTCAACAGCATGATCCAGTTTTTTTTTGTCATCTGCAAGCATTGCATCTAATTTCTCGGCTTGTGGCACAGTACGAGGAAAACCATCGAGAATAAATCTATTCAAAAAACAAATGTACATTACATAACCATATCGTTACGCATGCGGATATGCATAGAACACTATGAAAGCTTTAGTAAAATACACACCCATTCTTACATTCCTCGTTGTTCCTTAACTCGTCTTGTATCATTCCAACCATTATCTCATCAGAGACTAATCCACCCGAGTCCATAATCTTCTTGGCTTGAAGACCGAGAGGAGTTCCGGCCCTTACTTGAGCGCGAAGCATATCACCGGTGGCCAGGTGACATACGCAGTATTTATCTTTGATCTTTGGAGATTGGGTGCCTTTGCCTTAAGAATGAGATAAATGGTCATGAATTAAAAAGGCAGCCTTTGTAACTGGACATATAATTCATTCGAATAATACATATAGTGGCTAATCATCCATCTTTAGTAATATGTTAAACAGCGATCATATCTAGTTTCAATATTCTCACTTTGATATGCGTCACTCATATAACATGTTCATTCAACAATCTACGCCGACCAATTATACCCATGCTTCCTTTATTTTTTCCCTCTTCTCTCTTTCTTGCAATGCCCACTTCCATTGTCATATATACTCACCGGCTCCAGGCGGGCCCATAAGCACTATTCTCAGTTCACGAGATTTTGTAACATTTTTCGAGTTTTCGTCCTCGAGTTTAGCAATACGTTCCTGCGCCAAGTTCAACAGGTATTTTAAGTGCGATATCTCCTCTTTATTAGAGGCAGCAGCCGGAGCCATAGTGTATGAAGAAGAACGAATCGAAGTCTAAGTCTAATGATAAATTTGTGATTTGGTTTTTGGGTGGGTTTTTCTTTTATGAAATTGAACTTGATGAGATCAATCGTATGGAGATGATTTGCGGTAATTGATTAACACATGATAAGCGGATGAGACGAATACGGCATTAGTGAATAAAGTGGACCATTTATGGCTAGCAAGTTCCGTACACGTTACATCCTACATATAGATTACAAATACGAGCCTTTGAATATCTATTCAAATATGTAACGTATTGTATTTATATTAAGCCTGGAAATGGAGGCCCATATTGTATACGATATTCATTGTCATTCCAACATATGTCTCGGTATTATAACAAGTTAAGGAAGAAGGGTTTTTGCTAGTACAATCCTAAGAGTAACTTCATGCGGCTTGAATCTAAAGTTGGAAACAATGGGACTTGCGTCAAGCGCCGGTCTAAGACATTAATGTAAAGGTTCCCTTGCTAAACAAAAGCCAATGTGACCATCTCTTGAACCTACGTAGTATTAAAGAAAGCCGGCTTAACGTAAACTATCCTCTGATACTTTGTGGAGAAGCAGTTGCACATATCTTTTGCTTCATTTTCAAAAATGAAGACCACTATTAATGATTTAATTTAATATTAATCTCTTGGTTATCTCAAAACTGAATAGATAATTGAGTAAGCATGCATACCTGATTAATAACTATATACTATAATCATAGAGACTGTGGTTTTTTAAAAAAAATCGATTTGATACAGTGAAATCCGATTTTGAATACTAATTGCGTAGAACACTGTTCACGGTTCGATAAACGCCATCACTGTGGTTATGCTGATAATCGTCATAGGTAAAGAATTTACATTATAGAACCAGTAATCCAATGGGAATTTCGAATGCATACTGTTCTCCCGTCAAGGTCATAGAGCAAAATGATCATTACGCATCTAATTTTACCGCGCATGCTGCACGATTGCATCACGATTAACCAGGTTCCTAATCATGCATTTCGACATACTTTTAAGGTAGTTGCTTTTTTGCCGCGAGCCTTCAGTGTACTTTTACTATGCCAAGACGCGATCCCATTTTCTGCGTGAAAGGAGAAGCAATGATATACGTTGTATCTTGCGGGTTCGTCTACTGAGTGTTCTCGGTTAACCGTAGCATATCTTGTAATCTTCACAACTGTCAAATAGGGGTGCTGAATTTTTGCGTAACGAGTTTGCTCAGTGATCGAATAATACATATACATTCTCTTAAATTTATAACGCGTTCTGTCCCCGAATAATCCGGCACCAGACTTGAAGCGATCTTTAGAATTTAAAATGGAACACAGTCACAAATCAGTCGCATGATCAATTAGAATAGTTTGTTCCGATTTTTATTAATTGAATTAGATTCATAGACCATTAATTGACGTCTATCACCATGTCTTTCACTCTATGCTTCGAAATAGCCACCCTTCGGCCATTTCCGTCGAATGCTACGCGTCCATCTCGCTTGAAAGCATTTCTCACAAGCGTCTTTATTATGAAAGCTATATAGATAATAGTTCATTGTGACAATCAAACTTCTATTCGTTCTTAATTTGTTTCATTTCAACTCTGACGTTCTCTCCGAATAATATGAATTAGTTGAACTGCGTTATTGTCTCTTGTACCAATCTTCATCTTCATTCAGTGTAGTATTCCCATTAGTACTCCCATCAGATCCAAAGTTACGCCGCAGGTATTCGGTTAATAAGTAATATAACTATTATAACGATAAATGGCGTTTAGTACATTAAATTCGATAATCTATTCCGCATATAATATACATGATTTGGTAAACTTACTTCTTTATTGGCATTATGCTTATTAATGGAGTGATCGCTATCTGTATAAATTTGTACGCGATAATTATGGATCGATGCAAGTGTTAACTTGTCAATTAAGGTAGCAGTATTCTGGAAATGCACTGTATACGAATAGAACAAAATTAGCCACAGGCAATCAGGTGGCAAACAAGTCAATAATCAACGATATCCAACCTACCATTGTCTGCATGTCGACAGAGATAACAAAGTCCAGAATATGTATAAGAGAATTAGCGATTTTAGCGGTTTTGGTAAATTTGCCTGAAATCAACTAGCATCGTGTCTTACCGTCTCCCGTTCCATGAATAAGTAAGAACTTTGCATGTAAGAATCCAGTCATATTAGTAACAGCAGACTGAATATAGCCGTCTTCATTCATAGCCGGCGTTTTCATATATCTCTCAGTATATATAGAATCATAGAATCTAAATAGAGAAGTATATTCGTCATCCAAGTTGTATTCAATTCGACTCCACATTTATGCAATATCTATAGTAAGCTCTTCATCGATTCGTCAATAACACTCAACAAACCTCCAATCAGTAACAGGTGCTACCGCCATGCCCAATTTAAATACTCCAGAATCCGCTTCTATGACCTTGCTTGTCACGTATCCTCCATAACTCCATCCCCATATGGCCATCTTTTCCTTGTCAACGTAATTTAACTGGGCCCAATGTTTTCCAGCATTTATTTGATCTATTGTCTCTAATTTCCCAAGTTGTTTTCTTATTCCTACTTTAAAGGCGCGTCCCTTGAAACCAGTGCCTCGACCATCAACGGTAACGACAATGCACTTCAACTGAGGGGATGAGGCAAGGAACATATGCCAATTTATAGAAAATTTGGCGCTGACCAATTGGGAGTCCGGACCCCCGTATACATAGAAGAGGACCGGATATTTGGTCTGGCCTGAAGTATCCATACCTGGAGGTCGAATCTCGAAGGCGTTGAGTTCTATGTAGCGTTATCAGTTGTAACACATCAATAATAATCCATATGAAAGGAGAAGATAGGCGTCGACTGAAAATACGCAAGTCAAAATATTGATTTGTTATCATATTACGTACGGTGTCCTTCACTATCGATTGTCAGAAACGTTTTTTTAGGCGTGTCCAAGCCGACAAGTGCTGCTCTTATGCCATCATTAGTTTCCAATACCACTTCAAAGTCTATGGTAGCATTTGTTAGCAACATATTTCTAGTCAATGATAAGCCAAAACAATTGTAAAAGAGCTATCAACTCACTTTTGTCGTCGACTTTGAATATCTTTTGCCATGGCACGTCTGGACCTTCATATCGTAAGCTATAATATGTACAACCAGGAGAGAAGTCGGCAGAGTAATATCCAGGTTGGTCTGTGGGTGTCAGAGCTTTCTTGTCGGTACCATCGAACTTTATTGAATACAAATGTCTCTCCATGGACGACTTTTCAGTACTTATGAAGTAGCTAACAAACAAAAAAAACATATGTATAGATTAACAACTTTCAAACAGTAACGTCATCGAGATTATATAATACTATTAAGCAACGTACATTAACTTCCTTTCATAGTCAATTGCAGTGACACCGTCGACTATTTCCCAGTTTCCACTTGTCAGAAATGTGGGTTTATCAGACTGTAGAGGACTAAATAAAGCAAGGTGAAGATAACCATTATTGTCCACAACATCAATATAGCTATCCTTTTCTTTTGATGTCTTTGATGGAATGGCTACTATAGTCTGGGCCTACAGAACCGAAAAATAGAATGTTTGTTACATATGAATACAATCAGGACATAAGGACAATAAGTGTTATAGGTAATTCGTACCACTCTGAACCATCCTCCATCTTGTTCTTCGGAATTTCCTTCCCTCACAATCACACCTTTCCTAGTTTCGACATCTACTAATATCACTCTCATGTTGTCCTGTACTCTATTCATCTCTCGCATCAGGACATTTTCGTCTCCTATCCATGCGACTTCGGTGATAATCCTATCATCATCCTTGAAATCCTCTTTGATGATTACCGGGTCTGATTGTGCAGCAAGTGGTGTCTCTGTGTTGTATATATGAAGTGTTACGATTGGGTTGGGAAAGCCAGGCTTGGGATATCTGATAACATATTCGGATGTATATGCTCCATCGCGATTGTCTAGGTAAATAGGAAAGCGATATTCAGGAACAGCGCTTTCATCGAAACGGAGATAAGCCAAGTATTTTCCCGATGGAGACCACCAAATCGCTTTGTTTGATGAGAGCACTTCCTCTGATAAAAAAGGCAGTAAAGGATATTAGTTTTGTTTTTTGTTTTTTTTTGACAATCGTTATGGTTTAGATATTGAAACTGTCTTTGAAGTAAGATCTGTGTATAGAGATATCGATACGATCGTATTTCTCGAAAAAACGCTTGTTTACCTTCATAAATCCAATCTGGTATTCCATTAAAAATATCAACCGAATTGTCAAATGTAATTCGCCTTTCTTCCTTCAAATCTACAGATACGTATAGGTCATTATCCTTGACAAATGCCTATAATTATAATGCAAAAGTCGCACATAAGAATATGAAAACCTCAGATCAGGAGATAATTACTCTGCAGCGGAAAAAAAAAAGACTAAGTGCATACCACACTATGTCCACTCGGACTCCACTTTGCATAGGCTATTAATGCATGTTTGTTATCACCAACTTGTTTCGTTAGCGGTTTTGCAATTTTTGATGACATGTCATATACCCAATAATTTGCACGAATCGAATGTCTCCACATCTTAAGAATGATCGCGATCCCATTGCAAAGTCAGAACACGATATAAAGTACGAAAAGGGAGTAGCATGATCGTAATCAATAATACTTTAGTATCCCTATGATTACCTTTGTCCTGTTAGTTCCAAGTAGTATATACTGTGAATCGGGTGACACTGAAAATGAGAAATACTCAATCCTCTGTCCCAGTGACTAATTGAGATTAAATAATATTTTAACATCGCAGTGACATCGCAAAAATATATATATAGAGATCAACTCTGCATACGTACGTCGACAATGTCTTTTCCAGATACGAATACAGTCTTGGTCCTATTCGCGACATGTTCTAATATTATATTATTGTCTCCGTCTTTATATGTGAAAATTCCATCTTCGCCAGCTATAAATCGAAAGCTTAATAATTACGTGTATTTAAAACACACGTGAACGCGCCTTCGAACATGTTGATGATCACTTACTAGTGCGACTCCATTCTAATGTCCTCCATGAAGGTATATACATTCCCCTAAGAACGTCTTTAAATCTGACCCCATTAGTAGCCACTTCCTCGTGTGGCCCTGTTCCTCCGAATACCGCGTATGCAATAGCCGCACCAACCCACGCGATTACAAATATTGTTGCAATCAACAGACATGGATTAATCGGTTTCCACTCCCTTGCCTAATAATTTTAATTAATCGGTAAGATTACAGTAGTTTTCCAAAGACACTCTTCACTATCCATGCCACCTACTTCTTTAATCGCATTTAAACGTTCATTCCTTTCAATATCAACAACTGTGTCATCTTCATCGCCTCTTCCCTTCAAAATTCTTTCCCTCTCACTACCTTTCACACGCATATTCGACAGCACATAACCATCATTCTCATCGAAGCTATCATCATCCCGCTCCCCATGAGAGCGCGAATTAGATGAGCTAGAGCCGAGGTATTGAGAGGGAGGATAATTGTGCGTACCGGCGTCGAAGTCTGTTGAAGGAAGGGAGACGTATTTGGTTGCTGTCATTTCTTCGTCTTAAGAGATTTGGGAAACGAGGAATTGCGCATTGAAGGCTGAAGGTATATATAAATTATGGTACAAATGTCGAGTTTGCAGTTTGCGCAAGAACAAGCTTATCTAGTGATAAAATGCGGAAAAGGGTTAAGAAACGTTTGATTACATCTTGTCAGTCGACATGGCGATCATACTTTCTGATTCTCTGCAGTAGATCTCTGCGAAGCTAGTTGTTTCTTGGTCTTTGGTATATATTAATTTATGCTGGAAGCTGTCGTGTTCGCTTTTTGCTTTTGCGCTCGTTCTTGGTGCTAAAATGCGTTTAGTAATAATAATATCAATGCATATTTATATATTAATACGGAATATAAAATCAGACAAGTGAATATGTCTGAAATGACACAAATTACCTACGCCGTCCTATTTTGCCTCCTCAAAATATTAACGTTAAAAGCAATCTTTAATTTATTTTGGTGTCTGCATTTTAATTTGGCATCACTAAACCATGGTATGTTAGTAATTAGCCGAAATTTGCTGCGCAGTCAATATAAAATCCAAATTACTAAACTGCTGGTTACCAAGTCCTCGATTATACTCTTGTCAGCTGCTTCCATACCAACTTCCATACCAACTAGTATTTTATTTACATAAGCCATTTGACAAACCTTCGATGGACAGATTTAAGACATTGTTTTCTTTGTGATTTGAACTTGGGCCTTTCTTGGAAACATTTTCATTTATTAAAGCACGTTCCACATTAAAATCTATCTATCATCTTAGTCCGCGTAAAGTTTGCAGATGGAGCACGCGAACGGATTAATTAACTCGCGATGAGAACAAAATTAGAGGCAAAGGCCCAAGGATGGACTGAGAGGTTTAAAGTTACTAGGTGGACAGAACCAAAATATTGCTACCGTTTGATTTACCTGCATTTGGGCATCCGCAGTTATTAAACTTATGGTACTAAATCAGTATTATTATTAGTGAGACTGCCGAATCTTTTTGTGGACTTCTGACTTGGTAGATCTACTCAGTTTAGTATAAGTTATTTTCACTCATATTAACCATTACACACAGATCTAGGCAAACACTCCTTTTCCCTTCCTCCAATGTATTTAGTTAGACAAGATAATAATAATAATGTTCAGCTTAATTGTAAAGAACTTGACGCTTGATGCTGATTCGTGATCGTAATATTCTGGTAATAGTCATCTCTATACCTGTTTTGTAAGAACTATATCGAATATATTCTTTTCTTCTTTCATAGGCACGGTGACATTAATTAATTGTTTCATACACTGATACTTATTATTGGCAGAATTGTAGCAATCATATGAATATTAATATGAGACAAAGTCCCAGCGTTGTGAAAATGCGCAACATATATATTATTAGTGTAACAACGTCAGAAATGTTAATGATAGTAGTAGTAGCACAAATTACGCGGTCAAGAATTATCCCATTGTTGAATGTGCAACTTAGAACGTTTAATTCAGTGCCAATAATTAATATTAATATTAGTACGATCAAGCAGTAAAATTGATTAAATCTATCGTCTACAAGTAATAAAACGGACTCATTCACAAGGAGCGATTGAGAACGAATATAAGAAGATGCGTCAAAATTGATCATTATAACCGAGAGTTTAATATACCGTTAGAAGATTGATACTCATGCTATACAAGGGGTCTCGATATAACGACACGCTCGGCTCCAATCCAAATGGTCACTATATCGAGAATGTCCTTATATCGAGAATTAACTTACATACGATAACTAAGCAATATAAAATTTTTGTTCTAAGATTCCTGTCGTTATAACGAGATGTCCTTATGTAGCAGTGTCGTTATAAAGTTATTGTTACAATATTTTGTTCAAGTTAAACTATTATTTCGTCAATGAAGGAACCTATGCCAAAATGTTAGTAGCCATAGAGTATGATCGAGACACGAAGCGAAATGCGGATACTCTTGATGAAAATCCAATCGGAGCATTGCAGTGGAAAGAGAAATATTAATATTGAGGCTGAAACCAACTTTCATCAATGAGGTAATATTCGCAAATAATATATAACGGGTATTATTTTATGTATAAGCGGCATTTCTTCGTCCGCTACCTTCGTATGATGAAACGGGCGATGTTATTAATTCTCTAAATGTATATTAACGGCCATCAATACTAGCGATTAGATTAGAAGGGTTTTTAATTGTTATATATTTATAACTATTACGGATAGACGTACTGTATCTATTGCCTAAGATATATTCAAGACACGATCCCAATGTAAAGTGTACTACGAAGTGGCAGATAATAGTCAACGCAAAATCATCCGTCTAGCAATAGCGAAATCGTTTGTCTGGCAAAAAGGAAATTATTCTCTAAATAAATAATTAGTAGTAATGTCCGTTCTTAGAGATATAGTGCAAGTCATCTATACCCGACAATCACGTGATAAAAAAATAAAGCATTTTCACAGATGAGATATCAAAAATCTGACCAGGTAACTTTGTTCTTCATAACAAGCTCTACAAAATTACCAGTCGGATGATTTTTTTGTGAAAAGTTTTAGGGATTTAAAGTTCCTATGTGTTAATTAAACCACGTGATCATATGAGGAGCATATAAGTGGTTAGAATTGGTAGATCGAACTAAATATAGCTTTCGAAGAAAATTAATTAAATTTTGCTTATCATATTACAATATTATTGGTCAATTAAAGTTGAAACAAATCACGTGAGTATCGAGACTTGCACCATATTTAGGAAACTCTATAAGAGAACCTCTATCATGGAACATAATTTGGCTGTCCCGACTGTGTTCTTTTATGGAGATTCGACTGTACATAGTAATTAGTAAACCGTGACTATATAAAATTGCATAGTACCAATCAATAGTAATAGTTTGGTGAGTGAACATCTGACCACGTGAACTGAAAAATATGCACACTACCAAAACTGACGGCGCGACTTTCACCAACGCCTCTCTCTCCTTTGCCCTTCATTCTTTTCCGACTTCAGCTGTTGTTGTAACTGGTAATGTCCTTTCATTTAGACCACGTAACAGGACTAGGGTACAGGCTATGGGGTACGCCTCCATCCGATGTTGAGTTGAAGCCCCGGCACACGCCTAAACCTGTACAGATGTCGCGCTTCTGTTTCTTACCTGAGGACAGAGCACCGCTATGGGGTACGCCTCCTCAGTTTTTGGCCGAGTCGAGTTGAAACCCTGGGTCTGATCACCCTAACCCGTGCAGCGATATAACCACCTAGTTCTGCGCGTGCTTGTTTGCTTCATAACCACATTATCACGATGCGCTTTCAATTAATGGTCCATGCATCCTATTCACCTTGTTTGAAATTTACTGTATATCCATATAGTAATAGGACTGAGAAGCTGCGATCCTGGGAAAATGCATATTCGGTATGTTTCGTTATGTTATATATTCAACAGAATTTTTTGCTCATAACTTATTCTGTCAAAGTCGAAAAAAATACAAGGCAAAACAGCGTCTTGAAATTTATAAAGTACGGAAAGAGCTCGAAGCTGATCGTATTATGGTAAATTCATTAAACATTCCATGGAAACCAGAACTTGAGTTTGTGTTGACCTTATCATATTAAAGCAACAGCACAAGATCAGTACTCTCAAGAATGCAAGTGAGCAGATCTTGAGCTTGCAGACAAAAATCACAAAAAAAATAAAAGAAGATCCTTTACTTTCAGAAGCCAAGGTACCACGTTTTATATTAAATCTAGAGGAAAGTCCAAGGAGACCATTTATAATGATGTTTGCTACTTTTATCATAGGCACCATTCTATGGAAGGTGCAAAATTTATGATAATAATGATGATGAGCTATCTATGTGCAATGAAAGTGTGGGTGCAATGATTACCAAAACTCAGCTGTAATTCGAAAAAATTAATACAGTTCATGGCTACTTCATTTGGTTTTCTGTATTTAATACTAGACAATAGACCAGTCTGATTCTGAAAGTAATTCTGAGGCCAGTTTATCTCCATGCAAAATTGTTGTCAATGTGAAGAAAGCAAAGAAGAATGTCAAACAGATGGTGGCAGAAGAGGCCTGCAAAGATGGCAAATATGAAGATGTGAGTGTTTTAGGACTACCAGATGAATCACAAAAAGAGTATCAAAAGATGTATGAGACTATGAAGGATGCACAGAAATGGAAGCTGCAATCTGGGAAAGTTGTTGAGGATGTCTTGTATAGGCATGGATGTTGTCAAAAACTGGAAGGGTAATTAAAGGGTTTGGTTTAATACCATATTCATTTGCATATTAACATCTTTGAAAACAGGTTGGTGCATTCATTCATGCTGGATCTTGCAGATCCAGAAGTTGCAGCCCTATTTGATGCAGATGAAAAGAAAGAGATTGAATCCACCAATGTCAAAAAGGATCCTGAGCTTAATGTTGACACTGAAGAGTGCTTGAAGGCATATAACAAGGTATTATGTGTTGCAGGAAGGCCTGTTGTTACATTACTGTTTCAACATTCTCAGTTTTGTAGACAACAATCTCTGAAATCCGTCATGCAATGCACAAATTCTCAAGTCGACGGTTTGAAAACTATGACCCAAAGAAGGATTTTGCAGTGGATACAATCAGCAATGCAGTTTATGGCCTGTGAGTATTGTATGCTTTGAGGGTCATTTCAGGTTGGCTAAAATTTTTGATGCTGATTTTGGGTTTACAGGATTCGTCTTTATGAACATACACCCAATGCACTTGCCATCAGCCATCATGAGAATTGGTACAATATTAATGTCTGGGCACAAATAGTGGATAGAGCCTTTGATGATTGTGAAAATGTGGAAATAGCTCGGTAAGGTGAAAAACTGATATTTCAATACAAATTTAGTCACTTATCATCATTGTTGTGCAGAAGAGGTGACGGCATTGTGAGAAAATTCTTACATGGCAGTGTATTGGAGTTTGGTGGTGCAGAAGTTGGGCTGGCTGAAGGGAGCTTGAAGTTACCCAAGATGCTACGAGATATGCTCATGAAACTCAGTGAGCAGGTGAAGTGGCAACAGGAAATTGTGTCAAAGTTGGAAACAATTGGATATGTCCACAATGGTACTTTATCCTTGCTATCTGTTTATTACTTTGCTTTTTGATTCTCAAATCTTGCATTCTTTATAGGGACTGTTCTCATGATTATGTCCATTGATAACCCAGTTGGGTATGTGACACGTGTCACAAGAAGTGATTTTTTTGAAATACCTGAATCTGTTGAGTTTTTTTCTTCTGCATTGGAGCTTATTGGAGCTGTTTTGCTCTCAAAGGTCATTTTCATCATTTTAATTTTTCATCCATATTCAATTCAGACTGATTTGGTTGTCTCTTTAGCTCCGGATAAAGAGAACAATTCAGTTGGTTCAGGAAATGCCATTGGACCTGAAAAGCATTGGCATGCACAGTAAGGCCATCCAAGCATTTCCAACCACACTAACTAGTCCAGGGAAACAAGGCTGTAACAAATATCACAAAATTAAGAAAACCAGAAAGTATTGAAAATATCAGAGACGTAGACTAGCCTATACTTTGCCCCTTGTGGATAATTTATATCTAGACATGAGGTTTGTTACGGTCGGGAAATAAAATGGGGGGTTTTGGGAGAGCGATTTATCTTTCGTGTAGTTGTGTTCGCCGACCGGGGGATGCTACCAGGCTTAGCTCGTACTATCGCCCTTACTGCGATAGTTGTGCAATTAAGACTGAATTAAGCATCAATATCAAGTGACCTATTTTTAATTATGCGCGCTTCTCACTCCCTATCCGAGTTTCAAACACTCGTGAATACAAATAAGGG